GGCATGAAAGATAACAATGTCATGCATTGTTTTAAACTCATTTAACATAAACATGATTACAATAGAACACGAAACAACACGACAGGTTGACAACCCTAGGTACTTGATATGAGGGATAAGTGGCATATGGATGAACAGAAACTTACGTTTATGTAAACCTACATGTTTTCCACTACAATATTATGAAAATTTACCTGATCAAACAGGTAAATAATTTATGTGATCAAAATTTACCTACATGGTTTTACCTACATGGTTTTAGAGCCCAATAGTGATCCACATATTCCATTAAATAATGAAGATAATTATCTTTTTGATGAAAAATATGATGCAAACCCAGTCCCTATTAGATATTTTGATAGTATAATAGAATTTGATGATTCGAATTGGCACTATCCTTCTCCTTAAAATGGAAGAATGTTTAATATGTGATGTTATGATATTTCTTATTAAAGAATATGACTCTCAATTACAGGAATTAAAAGAAAGAATTTTATTATGAAAGCAGATGGATACATGTAACTTTAAATAATTGCCACCTTGCTACTTGTCACGGTAGATATAAAGAATTAAGAGAATTAGAAAATGAAAGATATTTATTAAACAATAAGTATTCACAAATAAACAAAGAATTTATAGGCCACTATAGAAATGATCATTTAGATAAACAATGAATAAGCCAGAAAGGGTAACATATTACCAAGAATGTCAAAAATATATTAGTAGAGCTTTGGCAATATAAACCAAAATAAATAAGGTAAGGAATCTTATAAATAAAAACCCTTTTGAAGAAATTATAATAGAAGCATTAAATATATTGTTAGAGATAGAAAAGCAAAATTTGGAAAAAGTTGTACGAGAAAGAATTTTACATTTAATAAGAACATATACCTGAGTTTGGAACAATACTATTAGAACCTAGAAATTTAAAAATAGAACAATATTTACATGAAGTACAGAAAACAATATATTGTGGATATATAAAGATTTAAAACGAGAAATTCAACTGATCAAAGAAAAATTAGACAAAAATTTGGAAGAAAATTTTGTAGAAAAAAGACATAAGACTACAATTGAGTATTTAATCGAACATATTTCTAAGATAAAATGAGCGACTCTGAAAATACATTTACTTATCTTTCAGAGTCTGAAATAGAACAAATAAGTACTAAATTAAATAAAATGATGATAACTATAAAACCAGATGTAAAACCTGAAATGCATGAAAATCCAACTATAAATGATATGCCCCAATCCAGTCATTCTGCTCTAGTTAATACACATGATAAAGACCCGATTTAGAAAATTCATTTATCTCTTCATTAATGAATATAGCTAAACAAAAAAGCTATTTAGATAGCGAAGGATATAACTTTTAGAAAAAGCAACACCTGAAGCTGTATTTCCTTTTGAAACATTTTTAGATTTAGATTGTGTGAAAAAACACAAAAGAAGCAATAGACAAATGGGAAATTGGATTGAAGTTAGCAACTTCAATAAATAAGTTAACATATGAAGATGCAAAAGAATTTTTAGAAAAATCCCCTTGTAAATAGTGTATCACGATATTGGAAAACACTCCCTGATGAAACAAAAATAGTAATATATGGAAATAATCAAGATACAAATGGTATGATAACTAGAGCACGTGAATTAATTTGCCTTGAATTTGTAGATGAAGGAAGTTATTTTAAAGATATCAATTCAGTTAAAAAATATACAGACGCTTTACATAAGTTAACACTATGTGATATGTGTGATATAGATAAGTATATTTGTATCTTTCAAAATTATTATTATAGAATAGAGGCGAAAAAAAGAGAAATATATTTAGAGCTGTTTTTCTCAAAAATACCAATCCTTTGGGGTAAAAAATTAAGAGAAGAATATAATCTAGGTACTAAAGATACATTGGGAAAGAGAATATTTTATACATTAGAAAAATTAAGTAAATGGTGTGAATAAACAATCTTTATAGAAAAACTTGAAAATTTAAAAATCAATTAGGATTATGTTGTAATAAAATAAGTATGCCTACTCAAATAGGATGCAACACTCCTTATTATTATTATTAAATGAAAAATAGATATAAGAAGTGTAAATACTTTAAAAGAAGATATATGACAATGTTATTTTTGTAAAGACAAAGGATATTTAGCAAATCAATACCTAAAAAATTTAATAAAAAGAGATTTGAATTAGATGATGATATTGAAGAACTAATTAATGATAATGAATTAATAGAAGTTAATAAATTTACAGAAATAGAAGAAATTTCCTCAGATAAAAGTATATTTATCTGTACAGACACAGAATATGAAATAAGCGATGAAGATGAATAAGATAGAAGAAGAGAAAAATAATTCTTTTGAAATGATAGATATTCATTCAAAAAAGTCAAAAGATACTTATAAATAGAAAATATTAGTAAAAATTCAAAAAAGTAATTTTTCAGTAAACTCTTCTAATGGATTCAATGTACTTGCACTAGAAAAGATAAAATTTTATTTAAAAAAACACCATATGTTTTATGAACTAATGCTCAAAGAAAAAGCGCTAGAATATAGCCTTACTACTAATAAAATAATGATTTCATTAATATCTAAAAAAGGATATTTATCATAAATTAGAAAAATAATATTAGAAAAAATAAGAAGCTCTATAGGATGGATTCATATAGATTCTATCCAAATGATTAATAGTTCCATATCCAGAGAAGGACTAAATACTCTTGTAGTTGATAACAAGATAAAAAATAGGAAAGAAACTACCCTTGGTTTTCTTAGAGGAAATTTTAAATATCAAAAGCTAATTTTTAATATATATCTAAAAATTCCTTATAATATACATGATAAAGATTTTGATAAAACACTTTTCTTAATACAAGATTTCAAAAGAAAGGATTTCTTTTTCAATGAAAATAGACTATATTCTATTATATATATGATTTTTTATGCCTTAGTAAATACTCATCATATTGAAAACTTTTCAAATGTTGAATTCATAGATCTCTCTAAATTAATCCTCCAGAAATTACTAACATAGAATTGGATGAGGAATTCAATTTAGATATAAGCCAAAAACCTCTACTAGATAAGCCAAGTATATTTTTACCAAAATTATCAAATACAGAAGTAGCTCTCATCGTTTTTCAAATATGAATACAGACCAAAAAATAACAAGAAGTTATATATTGGAATGGAAAAAAACATGAAAAATTGTAATATTTTCACAAATACATGTACTAATGAAAATTATATAATTCATTGATTGGTTGAACACTTATCTATTTATCAATTACAAGATCTGTAAGGATCGAAGACAACTTAAGAGGGGGGGTGAATTAGGTTTTCTAAAACCAGCTAAGATATAGGTCACTCTTTTCCAAACCTATCCTTTTTTTCTCAAAGACCACTCAATGGATCAGTTTACAAGAAGGCACAAGTGTTCGTGAGATGAAAAGGAGAACAGTTTATATAGTAAAGCTATAAACGAAAATAGAGAAACAATCCAGGCTTCAAACTCCATTGAGTTTGAACAACACTTTATATAATCAAACTACTTCAAGTTGAACAAACTTGCAACCAATTTCTTGTGTACAAGGGAAGGATCACTTCCTTCTTGCCCCAAATCTCACTTGGTCAAGCAAGGAAGTTTTACAAACACTCGGATAACCCTCACAATGCTACACTATTGAAGAAACTGTGTCACACTTGAAAAGCTACAAGAAAATTGCACAAGTTAAGAATACAAATGTTCCTTTGGAGTATTCTAACACTTGAATCACTCACTATCTGATGTAGACTTGATGTGCAAAGTTATTCTGAGGTGGTTGACTTTGTTCTTTTTATAGGAGACCAAAAAATTCTTCAATTAATGCTGTCAACGGATAGAAGGCATCTGAAGAGTCAACTAGCCGTTGGTGCTGTCGGACGTCCGATAGTCAGTTTTTATGCGTCCGAGCGAGGTCAGTGAGTTCGAGAAATTTTCTTGAACCACTTAGGACGTCCGATCCCCTCACACCATGCGTCCGAGGGTAAGATGCAGACATGGAGGTTCCTCTTCAATTCCTTCGGACGGCCAATGCGTCCAATGTGTTGCGTCCGAAGTGCAGCAACGCTTGTCGGACGTCCGATGCTCAGGTGTTGAGCGTCCGATCGTGATCAGTAATCGTAGAGGCCCTGACTTGTCTTCTTCGGACGTCCGAATCTGAGTTCTTCATACTTCCAAAGTTACTCAATGGATGTCGGACGTCCGATACTCTCCTTTTGTCCGTCCGACATCTTCCTCAGCACTTTTTACCTTTTTGATCTTCTTTTTGCTCTAAGTCCTCAGACCTGTTTAGTGCCATTTCTGAAAAGAGTCTCTACAAAAAGTATTAGTAACATCCGTTTGTTTTGTAATCATCAAAAGATATGAATTGAGATAAACAATCTCCCCCTTTTTGATGATGACAAAACACTTGGATAGAGCAAAAAGAAAAGTAGAAATATGAGTTAGGATTACAGCTCCCCCTAACGAAGTGCATGAGTATACGAAAAGAAAAGTAGAAATATGAGCTGGGATTACAGCTCCCCATAACGAAGTGCATGAGTATACGAAAAGAAACACAACTCCCCCTAAAACTGACTTCCCCTAACTAATTTCTTTACATCATCAGTGCTAATCCATTTCTCCCCCTTTTTGTCATCACAAAAGCAGGTATGCCATGTCTGATCAATTTTGATACCAGCAATATCAGACAACATCAGCACGATCCATCAGAAACATTAGCAACAGAAAATTTGACAACAAAGATTTTTTAATCAGATAATATCAGCAAAATCCATTCATGCTCAGCACAATCATCAGAAACATTCATTCATAACAAATATAAACATTAGAAAATATCCAGTTGTACAGATCAGAAGTACAACTCTTAGTACATAGCATACGAAAAGTTTTGCAGTGCAAAAGATGAACTATAGTCCTAAAAATAAAGTGCAGTGACCTAGCAGTGCCTAGATAGTGATTTTAGATGATCCAGGCCTCCTCCTGGCCAGACGAAACTGTTCAGGATCCACTTCTTCCTCAGTTTCTTCATCGTCTTCTTCATATGCCTCCTCAGTAGCTGGAGCCTTGCCTTTATCCTTGGGCTGAGAGCTAGAAGCTGGTGTGGCCTCAATACCAGTAGTTGGCCCTGTGGGCTCAGGTCTTGGCTCTTTCTGATGAGCATTTTCATTATTTTCAGGTATTGGAGGCACAAGAAGGTTCCTTTTTTCAATGAAAGAAGATTGTTGGGCAGGGGTCATGGTCATCATGAGACCATCTTCAATAAGCATGACATGCTGTTTGAGGTCTTCAAGCAGGGAGATGACCTCAGAATTGGAAGAGAGGGACTTGCTGGCAGACTTTCTAGGATGAATGGTGAAAGGAGAAATATAGTCTGACTAATCACGAGGAGTCCTAAGAGTGACAGGGGTTTCATGAAAGTTTTTCCTTCTAAACTCAACCACAGTCTCCTTATAGCACCAATGGCCATCAAAAAATCTTAAGTTCTTTCTTTCAAAATAAGCTTTTGAGAAAACTGTTGAAGCACTGTCTTTGGGTGATTTTCCAGAAAAAGGTATTTCAAAATGGGCAAAGATAGGGGTCAGAAATTTGCCATAAGAGAGCTTCCTACGACTGTCAGTACTAATTTTGAGCAGAAACTTGCACATCACAAATCCAAAGTCAATGCGAATTTTTTCAACAAAACAATAGAAAAGGTAAAGTTCCATTTTGTTTGCATCTGTTCTGTGGCCATCAGTTGGCACCAACAGATTTGAAATGATGGTGAAAATGATCAGATTCTGAGGACTGAGATCATCTAATCTTGCCTCAGCAGGAGTATTGAAGTACGTTTGAAAATAGGTCATGAGTTTAGCATTGTAAAAATGATGGTAGGCAGAAGGAAATTCCTCATACGAAAAGAAATTTACAATTTTTCCTTTGTAACCATCTTCAATTTTTGTTTTCAAAATGGAATTTACAATGTCAGGTGTTAATGTGATGTTCACAGAGTTGACCCTAGAGATGAGTTCTGTGTGTGAGTTACCCTTTCTAAGATTAGCAAAGAATTGATAAAGCATGTCAGGGTAAAAGGTATTAGGAATGGTCAGAAGATGAACCCATTTTTGGAATTCAAACAACTTAATAACAGGTTCAAGATCAAGCTTACGAAATTCATAGGGAAGGATGAGCCTTTGGGTGATGAACCCTTTTTGAGAGATCAACTCAAATCTGTCTCTGGCTTCATCATCAATGAATTTTGAGAGAGGAGTGGGTTCTATTACGGGCTGAGATACTGGATTCTTCCCAGAACGTTTCCTTTTCGAGGTTTGTGTGGCAGATGACCCAACATTTTGAGTCTCAGTCCTTGTCCTTAGAGATTTCCTGGTGAAGGGTTCAGGTATTTGCTGATTCTCAGCAATGTTTCCTTCATTCTGCTGATCATCAGAGGGATCAGCAGATTGCTTTTTCTTGGATTGGGGAGTGCTTTTCCTTTTTGCAGTTCTTTTTCTTTTACCAGATGACCTTGTGACAGTTTCATCATCCTGGGTAGCCCGTTCTGGTTCCTCATTTCCACCAACCGTGTTTCCTTCAGAGTTCTGCTCTTCCATCTGCTCATCAGATGGTTCAGCAGTTGGAGAAACTCTTTTTCTTTGGGCAGTTTGCTTCACTTTACCACCATGGGTCACAATCTTCTTTTTAGGTGCTTTGGTAGACGGTTCCACAATTTCAATGTCTTCATGTCTAAGTCTAAAAGACTGTCCGGCACTTGTAGAATCTCCTCTAATTCTAACCATGATGCAATGTGGATGTGTTTTTGATGCAGAACGTGGTGTATAGAGGAAGATTGCAGTATGAGCAAACGAGAATGCACTGAAATGCCGCAAGGAGAGAGTTATGAGAAGTTAGGGTTTTCGCATATGAATTGGGAACTATGGGGTAGTTGGGGGTTAGGAGTGATTTTTATGGATAGTTAACGGGCAATAGAGGTGTAATGGCGTTGGTTGAGTCAATTTCTTGGAACTTGATTTGAGGAGAGAGGAATTTGAATTTTAAATGTGAGAGGAAACTGAAAAGTTGCGTCCGAGACCGTGGAGGAAAATGAACTGAGTAAGATGGGTAACTGCCTTATAAGGCTCAATTTTTTTAGTGTCGGACGTTCGAACGAAGTGAAGCGTCCGACACAACCGTCAGAACCAGTGCTTTTCTGAAACAGAATGAAGAACACTGTCAGACGTCCGTTCCAATGCATCAGACGTCTGATAAAGATTGACCAGAAACGAAACTTAGAATATTTTTTCTGAAACGCCCAATTTTGTTCTCAAGAACACAAATTGATCGAGTGGAAGAGCTTTTGTGAGGATATCAGCGATTTGATCTTTAGAACAAACAAACTGAACACAGATTACCCCCTTGGAGACAAGATCGCGAATGAAATGATGTTTTATATCTATGTGCTTAGTCCTAGAGTGTTGAATGGGATTTTTTGTCAGATTAATTGCACTAGTGTTGTCACAGTACATAGGTACACATTCATATACTAAACCAAAATCATTCAATGTGTTTTTCATCCATAACAATTAAGCACAACAAGCACCAGCAGCAACATATTCAGTTTCAGTAGTGGACAATGAGATAGCATTTTATTTTTTACTAAACCAAGATACTAAGCAATTTCCAAGAAAGTTGCATATACCAGTAGTACTTTTTCTATCTATTTTACAACCACCGAAGTCAGTATCAGAGAATCCACATAAAGGAAGTTCATGACATTTTGGATACTACAAGCCAAAGTTTAAGGTTCCTTTAAGATATCTAAGAATTCTTTTTACCATATTCAAGTGTGATTCCTTTGGACAGGATTGAAATCGAGCACATAAGTATACAGCAAACATGATATCAGGCCTACTGCAGTTAAATAAAGTAAACTTCCAATCATACCTCTATACTTCTTTTCCTCAACTTTTGTACCTTCTTCATCTTTGTCAAGTTTGGTAGATGTGCACATAGGTGTTTCAACAGGCTTTGAGTTCTCCATTCCGAATCTTTTCAGCAGCTCCTTGGTGTATTTTGTTTGATTTATAAACGTTCCATCTCGGGTTTGAACCACTTGAAGTCCAAGGAAGAAATTTAATTCTCCCATTATGCTCATTTCAAATTTTTTTTGCATGATGTTGGAAAAGTCCTTACACAAGCTCTCATTAGTAGCACCAAATATGATATCATCCACATATATTTGCACAATTAAAAGATCTCGTGAGTTTTGTTTTGTGAAAAGTGTAGTATCTACAATGCCCCTTTTAAAATCATTTTCAATCAAAAACCCACTCAAACGTTCATACAATGCTCTAGGAGCTTGTTTTAATCCGTATAAAACTTTTGAGAGTTTAAAAACATGATCTGGATAAGATTCATTTTCAAAATTAGGAGGTTGGTCAACATAGACTTCTTGATCTATAAAGTCATTTAAGAAGGCACTTTTAACATCCATTTGAAATAATTTAAAATTCTTGAAACATGCAAATGCTAGAAACATTCTAATGGACTCCAGCCTAGTTACAGGTGCAAATGACTCATCAAAGTCTATTCCCTCTTCTTGAGTGTATCCCTTAGCCACCAGCCTGGCCTTATTTCTAACAACCTCCCCTTTATCATTCATTTTGTTTCTAAAAACCCACTTTATGCCAATGATAGAATGGTCTTGTGGTCTAGCAACCAGGGTCCAAACCTTATTTCTTTCAAATTGGTTTAACTCTTCTTCCATAGCTAAGATCCAGTGCTCATCATTCAATGCATCAACAACATTTTTAGGTTCAAAGTGTGATACTAAAACAAGATTATCTACTAGATGTCTAGAGGAACGAGTTCTGACCTTTTCAAATGGATCACCAATTATAAGCTCCCTGGGATGGTTCTGGACAAATTTTCAGGTTCTTGGAAGATCATTAGGAGTAGTGGTGTCTCTGTCATTCACTTCTCCAGCTGGACTGTCTTGAGTGTCAGCATTCTTTAAATCAATTTCTAGTGAAGCAGAGCCATGATCATTAATTGCTAACTTCTTTAATTCTTCTTGTACACCTGTATCATCATCTTCACCACAACTCATGGAAATGTCACCATTAGATTCATCAAAAGTAATGTGTATCGCCTCCTCTATAACCAGTGTTCTACGATTATAGATTCTGAAGCCTCTTTTGTTTTCACAATATCCCAAGAAAATTCTCTCATCAGATTTCTTGTCAAACTTTTCAAAATGTTCTTTGATGTTCAAAATGAAACATTTACAACCAAAAACTTTAAAGTAACCAACAACAGGCTTTTTGTCAAACATGAGCTCATAGGAAGTTTTATTCAAGATTGGTCTTAAGAGAACTCTGTTCATGGTATAACAGGCTGTGTTTATGGTTTCCTCTCAAAAATACTTTGGTAAATTGCATTCACTAAGCATGGTTCTAGCAGCCTCTTGGAGAGTTCTATTTTTTCTTTCTACAACTCCATTTTGTTGGGGGACTCTAGCAATAGAGAATTCATGAGTAATGCCATTGTTATCACAAAAATCTGGAAAGCCACAAAAACGAAATTCAGTGCCATTATCACTTCTAATTTTGATAATTTTCAAGCCAATCAAATTCTGAACTTTAGCAAACAGTGATACGAAATTCTTGAAAGCATCATCTTTATGTGCAAGAAACATCACCCATGTATATTTGGAATAATCATCAACAACAACAAAATAAAATCTTTTACCACCAAGGCTTGTAGTTTGTGTAGGACCAAACAGATCAAGGTGTAAAAGTTCTAGTGGCTTTGAAGTGGAAACACATTTCTTAGGTTTAAAAGATATCTTGACTTGTTTTTCAAATTGGCAAGCATCACATATCCGGTCCTTTTCAAATCTGATTTTTGGGAGACCTCTAACAAGATCCTTTTTAGAAATTTCTTTTAGCAAATCCATATTGAAGTGACACAGCCTTCTATGCCATAACCATGGGTCCTCATTTGCTACTTTGAGACATTTGAGATAGGAGGAATCAATTTTTTCAAGAACAACTACATAGATATCATTAACTCTTTTTCCTTTGAAAACAATGTTGAACTTTGAGTCAAATATGAGACATTCAAGCTTCTTGAACAATACAAACAGATTTCTATCACACAATTGGCTAACACTTAATAAATTGTAGCTCAGATTGTCAACAAGAAGGACATTGTGGATAAAGATTTGACCATTCTTACCAACATCACCAATACCAACAGTTTTGGCTTTGTTATCGTCACCAAACGTTACCTTTCCACTTGCTTTTGGCTTGAGTTTAATGAATTGTGATACATCACCAGTCATATGTCTTGAACATCCACTATCAATGAACCATTTTGATTCTTTAGCAATGTTTCCAGGTTCACCTACACACAAACCCACAAGATAATACTTGGTACCCTTTACATGTTGGGTCCTTGAGAGTCAGCATTATGTCTAACCATCCACATGCATCTCATGCCATTTCTCATGTTTTTCTTAACATAACAATTGCTATTCATGTGACCAAATTGACAGCAGAAACTGCACATAGTTGATAAATCACTCGAGTGAACAGATTTTATAAATCTGACTTGCCTTTCCTATAGACAGTAAACTCATTTGCTCGATAATTTAACCTATTCTGATGAATATCAAAGTGAGATCTTGTGCTATTTCTTTGAAAAAGGCTTTGTTTCTGATGTTGGAGTAACTGACCAAGATCATTCATTCTTTTTTTTCAAGCAGTTTTGTTCCTTTTTGAGAATGTCACAGAGGTTTGTCCTTTTGTCAAGTTCAGTATGTAAATCAAATTCAATCTTTTTCAGGTTATCATTTTCATTTTTCAAATGTTTGTTTTGTCGAAAAAGGTTTGCATTGTCTTGAATCAAAAAATTAATTTTCTGGTTTAGTTCTTTGTTTCTGATATAAGATTCTTTCAAATTGTTGTGCATCTTTTCCAAAAATGAATTAACATCATCATCAGATTCATTGTCACTATCAGTTTGGGAACTACAAGTAGTTACCTCATCATCACCAATGGCCATGAAAGCCACTTGAGCAGATTCCTCTTCTTGCTCAACTTCACCTTCTGAGTTGCAATCATTCCAGGTGATCTGGAAATTGTTGAACTTTGGTTTTCGTTCAACCTTATTCTCCTTATTTTTCTTTATTGGACACTCAATTGCATAGTGTCCTGGTTGGCCACATTCGAAACACTTATCAGTCTGCTTCTTGTTGAACTCCAGTTTCCCTTTGTTTCTGAAGTCATTAGACTGATTTGGGAAGGAATTGCTGGATCCACCTTTCCTGAATCTTCTCTTGTTGAGTATTCTTTTGAAGCCTCGTGTGATGAGTGCAATATTACTGTCATCACCTTCCAAATCATTTTCATCCTATGAGGCTGTTTTATCTTCGTCTTGTGAAACTTTCAGAGCAATACTTTTTCTTACCTTGGTGTCTTCTTCATCCTGCATCTTAGGTTTAAGTTTCAGTTCGTAAGAAGTTAGAGAGTTAATCAGAGATTCAATGGGTAAAGTATTCAGATCCTTGGCTTCCTCAATGGCAGTCACTTTGCTCTCCCAGTCCTTTGATAGAGCATTCAGGATTTTTCTGTTCTTCTCACCTAGAGAGTACTCCTTCTCAAGCACCTCTAAATCCTTGATCAGATCATTAAATTTACAATACATTTTGTCAATATTTTCATGAGGCTCCATCTTAAAAGATTCATACTTAGTGACCAGAATGAATTTCTTTTGCTCTCTCACATTCTCGCTTCCC